ATAAGAAATATATCTAAAAACTAATGTGGTAAAGTATAGTATATTACCAAATATCTGAAAGGTATATGTGATCACAAAAAAAATAAAAATGATAAATAAATTTTTACACACACTGAAATGAGTAAACAAATAAACATATAACTAAATGCTACCAATAACGACAACAAAAATAATGACAAAAAAAGCAACAACTGTGATACACACCACGCCCTCCACGTCCTCCACGTCCACCTCGTCCACCACCTCTCTTGTGACCAGGCAAGAACATGAACAATGGTAGAAGTTTGGCTTCATCAATGTAGAGCTGGAAAGAATATAGCATAATTCTTAATTCCATGTACACCACAAATCAGAATACACAATTTTATCAACTTTATATGTAAAAGCATTTCATGTTCAGCCCCTTGGATCCTGATGCTTCACTGCCCACATATGGCCCAAAATATGGGCATTAGGCTTACTTGAGCAGCCACTCTGCTGGGTGTGTGGCTAGATGCAATGCAATGTTTTCTCTTTTTCTGCATAAGTATTCTTAGCTTTTTTGACATTTTCCAGTCTATACTTGGCATTTGATTTATTTTATCCAAATGTTAACAGACTATATTTCTTGCACAGTCTACATACCATTATCTAGGTGGTCCATGATAGTAACATTAGGCAGTATTTCATAACTTTAATTTTTTTGTATATTAAGCAATATTTTATTACTTGTGTCAGTTTTTAATTTTTTCGTAATATTCAATTTTCTGTAATATAACCTGTGCAGCTGCTCACGACAGGCAGGTACAGAATCCTCAGCATGGAAATGGAGTCCCCCCTGAAGCCTGTAATCTTCCAGCCATTAATAACAGATGGTATCTTCTACACTTGTTTATCATTGGAAATAATGCAAATGCCCCTTCCTATATGCCCACTGAGTATAATCACCCTCAGAGAGCTTTGTACACTCATGGTCAGTCATTGCCATCATCCTGGCCTTCAGCCCAAATTCTTATGATGGCAAGTTCCTATCACCCAGGCCCACATTCAAATTTTCCCATGATGGCATGTTCAGTCACCCACCCCTAAAGCCAATTTTTTCATAGCATGATTGTCACACCATCTGGATCGTAGGGGTTAAGTAAATGTGATAGAAATCCCTGTTTCTTGCATATCTTGTTTGACAAAGATTGATTATGATACTGACCACAGTAGTAGTAGTAGTAGTAGTAGTAGTAGTAGTAGTAGTAGTAGTAGTAGTAGTAGTAGTAGTAGTAGTGGTAGTAGTAGTGGTAGTAGTAGTGGTAGTAGTAGTGGTAGTAGTAGTGGTAGTAGTAGTGGTAGAAGTAGTGGTAGAAGTAGTGGTAGAAGTAGTGGTAGAAGTAGTGGTAGTAGTAGTGGTAGTAGTAGTGGTAGTAGTAGTGGTAGTAGTAGTGGTAGCAGTAGTGGTGGTAGTAGTAGTGGTAGTAGTAGTGGTAGTAGTAGTGGTAGTAGTAGTGGTAGTAGTAGTAGTGGTGGTGGTAGTAGTAGTAGTAGTAGTAGTAGTAGTAGTAGTAGTAGTAGTAGTAGTAGTAGTAGTAGTAGTAGTAGTAGTAGTAGTAGTAGTAGTAGTAGTAGTAGTGGTAGTAGTAGTGGTAGTAGTAGTGGTAGTAGTAGTGGTAGTAGTAGTGGTAGTAGTAGTGGTAGTAGTAGTGGTAGTAGTAGTGGTAGTAGTAGTGGTAGTAGTAGTGGTAGTAGTAGTGGTAGTAGTAGTGGTAGTAGTAGTGGTAACAGTAATATTAGTAATAGTGGTAACAGTAATATTAGTAATAGTAGTAACAGTAATAGTAGTAATAGTAATAGTAGTAATAGTAATAGCTGTAAAAGTAAAAGTAATAGCAGTAATAGTAATAGTAGTAATAGTAGTAATAGTAGTAGTAGTAGTAATACCTTTGTATCTTTTTGGAATGAAGATGCTTTGAAGTTTTCACCCAGCTTCACTGAAATATATTTATCGTGTGGAGTTCCAAAGATTTCATCAACTTTTCCAATCTGAAAATCATTAAAAAAAAAAAAATTATAAAGAGAAGAATTTCAGAATAAGACTAAAAGTGTGAATTACAATGAAAATGAGGATAAAAAGTTGGTACAAAATTTGTTTGGTGTCATTGTTTGATATAGGCACTCAAAGTGAAGGGAAACTTTGATTTTTTTAAATTTTCCTTTATAAAATACAGCTACAAACAATAAGTGGCCTAATGTGTTTAAAATACCAAACAAGCTCGCTGCAAGCACGGGAAACTGCCAGTGTATGCCAACAAACCTGTATTACTGGCCACTATACAATTTTTAAGACTGCAGTTAGTGGGTTATGACAATCAATGCTACAAAGTAAAGTAAAATGCATGTAAATTTAAACCATATAGCATAGATTTATGTAAATTAGCTTTATATTTCATATCATTATCATTTCAATCAAGTTTACTATAACTATAAAACATTACAAGAATAACATCTACAAGATGGACCTTGATCAGATTCA